GGGGGGGGGGGGGGGGGGGGGGGGACTATTTCTAGCGATCATGGACGTTTGTATTAAGTAAAAATAAAATGGCTAATTCACACAATAGTAAGACAAGATAGTTTTAAAAAAGTCTACGCCTCTACGGATTTTATTTCCATGCATGATTGTACTTGATTGCCTTGACACGGGCTCAAGTAAAGTCAAGAATCAAGATGGACGAACGTAGATAAATGCAGACGCACATTTAAACAATAACAACGAAGTTAAAATGATATTTCAAAATGTCTTGCAACAAAATTCAACGCCAAAAATATGTACGACTAATTTAAACGACAGGTGTGTATGGTAAAATTGGTGATTTTCCATGCGCGATTTTTTTATCACAGTACAGTCGAACCTCTATTAAACGGCCACCCTCGCGGATCGGCTTTGTGGCCGCTTAATTAATAGAGGTGGCCGCTAAATAGAGGTACGCAATTAATAGACCCTGGGCTGGGCGTAGTCAAATATCTATTTTTAATTATAAATCACAGAATACAGTGATTTTATCTTTAATTAATTCTCAGTTTCATCTACTATTACATTTTTTTCACCGGCATATATTGTGCCAACAACACGAGACCATCACACTATCATATTTCACACTAAACATTTAGGGACTATTGTGGCAAAAATGTATTACTAGGACACCAATACGGTTCTCATTACCTATATCTAAACCTAAAAATCCTGCAGGCTGGCCGCTTATAGAGGTAAAAATTGACATAAAACATCATTTGGGACCGCTCTTTGGGTGGCCTCGGCCGCTTAATAGAGGTGGCCGTTTAATAGAGGGATAGTTTATAATATTTTTATTACAAAAATTTCGGGACTTCGATATGTGGCCGTTCAATAATAGAAGGTGGCCGCTTAATGGAGGGCCGCTTAATAGAGGTTCGACTGTAGTTACACAACTACACGTTTAGCAACTACACGCTACATTTACAGTTACGACTTTGAAAAGACACTTTTCACTTTTTTTGACGAGGAAAGACAGTATACCGCCCAAGTTTCTATTTCTTGCATTACTCGATACTGACAGTATGTCATACTACCACAAAACATTTTGCAGTTGTAAATATTTAATATACCAACTAATAAGCTTTATGTCTCAATCAATTCCATGGGTGCCCATCCCCCCCCCCCGGTGTTTGTCGGGCATTTTCAACTGTACTTGTTCCCAGGGTCGGGCATTTACTCTTTGCAGGTTAGCCCCGGGGTGGGGAATTTGCTCAGGGCTAAAAGGTCGAATATTTGTCGCTTGTTTCGCCATTTAGCCGTATCTTAGTATGGCGTATTGCGAATTAATCATGCATGGTGGACATACACACTTTAGACTTTTTTCTTCTCCATACTGTTGATACATTCATAGTACATTGACTCACTTTCGCAGTTTGATATTGCTATATCAAGTTTTGAGACTTCAATATTTTAATTAAAAAGGATTTGAAACGAAAAGGCTACAGAATCGATTTTAAATGCAGATATATTGATACGAGATAGAGCCTCCATTCGATTTTTTGGTTCAGAAATCCTCAGAAAACTTATATTTTGTCCCCAAGGGTGGGGCATTTGCGTCAATGTAAGTCCCCAAGGGTGGGGATTTTGCAGGGCATTTTTTAAGAATTCGTCAGTGGGGGGGCCATCTACAAAAAGGGACCATACTATACCGAGTGTGGAGCAATGATAGATGGTTTGTTGGTAACAAAAAGTTTGGTGTGGTATCGCATTTAATAGTAGGGGGGGAGAGCAGGCCGTAGGAAGCTCTTTTCGTTTGGGGGTGAGGGGGTGAAAGCGAGGGCCGAAGGCCCGAGGAAATTTTTAAATTTAGAGTCTCTGAAATGCCATTTCCTGGACTTTGGGGAAGATTTGACAGATTTCTGATTGTCAGAAAACAGCGTTTTTAGTATGTGGAAATTTAGAATTCAGTAGAACTAAATGGACGAAGGTGTATTTAATTAACGATATATTGGATAAGTTGCAAGAAAGTATGGGTAATATCTTCATTCTTTGCAGTTTGTCATGGATTAAATAATAAAGGTCTGCATGATTTTGAAAAATGGATGACCCTACGACCCTGGAGAGGGTCTGGGGTTTTCTCCCCAGAAAATTTTTGTATTTTTCTACCCCTATGACTGCAATTCCCTGCATTTTCTGAAACAGATTTTTGGATATACAGCATTACATTATGCTGTAGATAGACTGACCTTCAGTTAAGTACAGTACTTGCATAGTATGTTTATGTAGATACCACAACTTTGCCGTCACTTAGGGAGCCAGCTTGATAAACTTAGAGTTCCCGACTCCCACCACAGTTTATAGACTAAGAACTGTGTTGGCACAGAGCGGAAAAATTTTGCGTCTCTAAATCATCGGAAATGGCATTTTCAAAGTCTTCTATACGTCTTTTGTTTGGCCCTTTCATTAATTCGTTCATTATGATTTGTGAGTCTATGATATCCGCGAGTCAGGATGGATTATTACGAGAAATGTTATCAAAATATCGATTACAGATATTTGATTATATGTATATATGATTTCAAATACTTCTAGTTTCGAAATCAAATTGTTGTTTTTTTTGTGGGGGCCAAAATTATCCCCCCCCCCCCTTATACTAAAACACTTGGTTGAGGGCCTGTTGCCCCCCTGCAGTCACTAACTTGTCCAACAACTCAAATCTATAGGGTCTGGGTAATGCAATCCACTGCCTGGGAAATGTTTAAAATCTAATAAGGTATTTATTAAACATAAAAGACAGGACATAAGATTCACAAAGCAAATTTCAGTTACTAGAATATCAAACCTCCCTTCTAAATTCCATGTTTTGCTTATATTTTAGAGAAAAGGGACTTTGACTGGGGGGGCCAAAATGGTTGAGTGGGGGGGCCACCATGGGGGCTGGGGGGGCTTTGGCCCCCCCAGTTATATAGTTAAAAAATGCCCTGGGATTTTGTTGCATTATTTTGACCCCCATGGCGGGGCATTTGCAACGTTTTCGCCAAAATGACAAATGCCCGACAAACGCGGGGG